GTTTCCTTCTAACCAGTGTCTCTCCCTAGAAGCAGCACATAGAACCAGTTTTTTAAGGCATCCTATCAGAGATGGTGTGTGCACATATTATGTGTAGTTCTCCTTTTTTTTTCACATGAAAGGTGGGTCGTAAACTATGCACAATGTACAACCAGACTTCGTTTTTATTGTGCTTACAGAAGTTGCTTTTTTTTTTTAAACAAATTGAAGGGAAGACCCTCCACCAGCAAAAAGATTATCACTCGCTTTATTGCAGTACTAGCTTTATTGCAATGGTATGGACCAAACCTTCAGCATCTCTGAGGTATGCCTATATTGATCTTGTTTTTTTCCCTTAGTATAGATAGTATTCCTCATTCTTTTTTTTGTGGCTACATAGCATTTCATTGATTGGCTAGACCATAATTTATTTACCCCGGCTTCTATCCGTGTTCACTTAGGTTATCTATTATGATATGCTTCAACACTGGGCTGGGGTGAAGCAAGTGAGGGAACATAATTTAAGGAGGCACTCACTCTCAGGGCCGTGCAAATGCCAGGCCAGCGCTTGCACAAACCTGAGAGTGAGGTTCTTAAATTTTCCACTTACTCCCCTTATCATACTCCTAGCCCTGCTCTGCTCTTACAAATTGGCTGCAATAAAAATTATTATTTGTACTTTTTCCCCACACATTATTGTTGGGAAAAATTCCAGATGTTAAAACATGGGGATCAAGGTGTATGTGGGTTTTTAAATTTGAATAAAGGAAACCTTTTACACTCCAGCCAACACTGTAAAAGACTGCCTGTTTCCCCATACCCTGACCAACAAATTGTATTAGCGACACTTTTAGATTGTTGCCAGTGGATGGGTAACACATCAAGAAATACGTGGCCAAGCTAACAGTTTAATAGTCTTGCACCTCAATGTAGAAACTCATGGAATTGCCTGCAGTGCCCTCTCTCTTCCCCATAGTGGTCACTCTGCATTTGCTCTTGGCTCTGACCAGGAGGTGGTGTGTGTATCCGTTTCCCTTATCGCTGAGGACACCAACTTTGGAGTCAGGCTGGGTTAACCCAGGTGGAACTTGAATCTAGATTTCACAAATAAAAATACAGGAACACAAATACTGTATACTAACATTAAAATGTCCAGTTATATGGAATTTCAAATGGACATCTTATATTTTATCTGGCAGCCCTACCTGGGTTAAAATCCAGTGAGCATCTTACAAACTCTGTGACCTTGAATGAGGGCGTCACCCGTGCCTTAGTTTCCGCATTTGTGTTATTAATTCTGCATTGGTTCTTATAGGAGTGAGTGAGGCCATCTGTGTGAGGTGCTTCGCTCAGTGCTGAAACACAGTCGGCAGTCTACAATGTGCACTTTTTGGTACTCTGGCTGCAACTCTGCACTGCCCCGCCTCCCGGTGCCAGAGCCTCTTTCTGACCTCGGCTTCACCCTGCTGTTTCTTTGCCTCTGAAGGCTTGCTTCCTTTTCAGCAGGCCCTAAGTCCCCCTAAGCCTTTTATGTTGGCGGGAGTGTTGCTTTCTCTGGGAAGGCTCTCTCAATTGTGTGGGTCACCCCTACTCTGTGCTTTCACAGGGCCTGATGCTCCTGTCACATACCTTCACATCTTGTGCAATACAACATGGTCATTGCCTTTTCCATGTTTGGTTCCCCTTCTAGACGTTGAGCTCCATGGGAACAAAGATAACTCCCTTCCTTCTACTGGTGTGGCCAAGACCTAGCACACAGTAGGACAGCAGGTGTGCTGAATAAATGCCTAGCTGAAGACAAATAATTTCTGTTCTTCTAGCCCTATGATAACTGGGGTGTTGTAGATTTTGCTTCTGGCTTTGAAAGAGCAGTGACTATTTGGAGTTTAATTTTGAAACTTCTATTAATTTTTCATTACGTTTTATATTTAAAATCCTGTATGAGACCGAAGATTTTGGGAGCATAGCCCCAGGTGCCAGATTATAAAATGGAATCTTAAAGTAAAAAGAGGCAGTCATTCTAACTAAGACCTTTTCACGCACCTGACCCCCAGCAGCTCTGAACAGAAATGAACTGGTCGTTCCTTCCCCTGAGGGGACTTGCCAGTTCCAAAGGCGAATCTGCTTATAACTGTCCTGGAACTTGGTCCCGGGACGTTGCATGTCTCTTGTCAGCATCAGCCTTGAGCAATGTCTTCCATGCACATGGAGCACTTCATGTACCAAGTGCTAGTAGTATTCTGTTCAATTGAGTATCCCATCATCATGCATGTGCACATCTTATAACAGCACCAAGGTTGGCTTTAAAGAACATAAACACTAGAGAGATGATCACTTTTGGGGGGAAATAATATATGGACGACCTTGGCCCACAGTGACAAGTGCAGACAATGACCGACATTTACATATTTTCTCCTCTGTGTTTTCTTATGCAAACAGGACAAAGCTTACACATATTTACTTGGTCTTTTTTCTTTTCTTTCCTAGTATCACAACCCTGAAAACCATAAAATTGCCTCTCTGCCAGCCCCTCTGCCTTTGGTCAAAGAATCTTTATGAGGACAGAGTCCTTTTAACATGAACCCTTCTCAGAACACATCAAGGCTCCCACATCCCACTGCCTCCCTCTCCTGTGGGCAGACATTACTCTCAGAAGGACACCTCACCTTTAACCTGGGCAAGGGCCAACCCTGCTGGGCCACGGTCCAGTCCAAGAACAGCCAGGCCGTGGCACGGTGTGTCTGCAGTGGCAGAAACCCAAACAAGGCTTCCTAAAAAGCTGTAGCTTCTTGTGTGGTGGACCTTGAATGAGCTGATCCAGAAATGCATATGGAAGTTCAGGGGACCCTGCAAAAAGAACAGAGTTGGAGGACTCACACTTCCTGATTTTAAACCTATTAGAAAGCTACAGTAATCAAAACACTGTAGTACTGGCATAAGGGTAGACATAGATCAATGGAGTAGAAATGAGAGCCCACAAATAAACTCCCATATTTAGGGTCAGTTGATTTCTGACCAGGTTGCCAAGACAGTTCAGTGGGGAAAGACAGTCCCTGTAACAAACGGTGCTGGACAACTGGATATCCACATGCAGAGGATGGCTCTGCGTCTTTCTTTTCTTTTCACTAACTTACCTTATTAGGATGAAATAAAAACATTTCAGTGACATATGGAAATTCTCAACTCTTAGGCAAGGTAGCTAAAAGTAGATGAACACAAAAGTTGGCAGAATTTCGAAATGGATCGATCTGATTACAGTGGCAACTTAACCAAATCTTTCAGAAATAGATGCCGATCAACAGGCGAAAGCAAAGAATAATGACAGAGGATATCTGTATCGCACCACGAACAAGTGTGACTGCACAGGAACCTGAGGAGCTGCGTATTCAACAATTGGAGAACGCTCCTTCTTACGCTCACAGGGGACGTCTAGGGAAACTGGCGCGTACTTGGCTGTAAAGGGAATCTCGCTGCTGCTACTCACTTTGTAGTCATAACTCCTGAGACGTTCTTGTGTTTCCCTCTACTTCTTTCCCGAGTTATTTCTACCAGTTCCCGTTTCACCTCTGCCTATGTTATGACCGTCTAAGATCTAGATGAATTCCTTCATTTCTGCTTTATGGTCTTTCTTAGCTGTAATTGCTTCATAAAGACCTTCTGCTTTCCTTTAAACTCATGATGGAAATGAACTGTTGGGTGTAATTTTCATCCACTATGGCAAGCTTTTCCAGGTGAGTTTTCATCATCCCCTGGGCAGCTGGGCAGCTCTTACCACCGTTTTTCTTGTGCTGACTTTGCACGATACTAAGCATATTCGTTGGGACGAACGTGGCGCGGGAAGCATGGCCTTCCCCCACTTGGCTTTTCTCAGTAACGCCGCATGACATTTGAAACAGACGGGTGCATCTGTCATGTACTTGACAAATTACCTGGCTCCCCAGTTTGAAGGGAAGACTTGGTGTATCTTCGGCTCATAGCTCGCTCCCAGGAACTAAAGCAGACCCTTATGTGTAGTCTGCACTCAGTACATATTTGTTGAATAAATTAGCATAGAGGGGCTCAAAAAACAGATGTGGATTTGAATTGGTCATTTTAGAACCCATTTATGAAAGTTTTAATGCATTATTATATCAAGTGTGGAAGCCAGGAATCTGAGAGAGTCAGGTACCCACACACTTTTCAATTCTCAAGCTAAATCTGGGTGGGGAACATCTGGCCCCGTGGGCCGTTTAGGCTGAGATATCATTTGGTCTGTTCCTGCCAAGGCATTAGGGGCGAGTTAATTAAATGTTTGACCAAATATAGAGGCTAATTTTTCAGTTGATAATTGTGTATGGCCCACGAATGATGTTATAAATTTCCAAATGGCCTTCGGCAGAAAAAAGCTTCCCCACCCGAGTTAAATAATCATCTCCAAACTGAATCTTGTGCCAGGGGGGATACACTTAATATTAAGACATTGAGCACTTGAGCTTTTACACACCACTAATGGAATATAAAATACCTCTTTCTCTGTGTGGGGAGCATTTAGCAAGGCACATATGAAAGGAATCAAGCCATTCAGATTCTAAGAATTTTTCCTACAAAGGTGCTCACACAGTCTGCAAGGCCATGTGTATAGTATGAAAAACTTCAGTTTGGGACTCCCGCAGCTGCACATCACGACCCGCTGAGACGGGGCGGGACCGTTTCAACTACTCATACTTATTTTTCATCTAAAGAAAAGATAGAAACCAAATTTCACTAACATTTAATAGGACAGTGACTCCACCATCCTTCAGTCGGCATGTTGGGTCACATGCCACTTAGTCATTGAAATCCAAGGCATCCTGAGGGAAGGACAGTTCAACCCGGGGGGCAGTGGTTTCCAACTCACTTGCTGATTTGCTTTTAGCATAGGCTTACTTTTGCAGTTTCTCTCTGCCCGATTGAATGCATTTCTAGATTCTTCCCTCTTATTTCATGTGCATAAATGCCAAAACAACCTCAGCCATTTCAGAACGTGACCCTCACTCTTGCAGGGATGCCCTGGCGGAAGGAGCAGACGAAGGACCTGCAGCGGGTGCTCAGGAACGTGGACAGCGACATCCCGCTGGTCCTGGTCAGCGGCAACCACGACGTGGGCAACATCCCCACGCCCGAGACCGTCGCGGAGTTCCAGGAGACTTGGGGAGACGACTATTTCAGCTTCTGGGTTGGGGGCGTCCTGTTCCTCGTCCTCAACTCCCAGTTACTGTACGACGCCTCCAGGTGCCCTGCCCTGAAGCAGGCCCAGGACCAGTGGCTGGACCAGCAGCTGAGCATGGCGGAGCAGCTCAAGTGCCAGCACGCCATCGTCTTCCAGCACATCCCCCTCTTCCTCCAAAGCATCGACGAGGAGGATGACTACTTCAACCTCACCAAGCCCATGCGGAAGGAGATGGCAGACAAGTTCATCAAAGCAGGTAGCAGCGGGTCCCCAGTGTCTGGGTGGAAGAGTGGTCTGAAGGGGAGGTTTCCAGATCCTTCTGCCCCTCCACAGCCTGGCGAAGGGGTTCTGATTCAGCTCTGTCACTCACTGGCTGTGAGGCCTGGGACAAGGTGCCTCCATTTCCTCATCTGTAAAGTAGGAACAGCAAGAGTAGCTCTCATAGGCTGGTTGTGAGGTTAAATGAGAAGAGGCTGAAAGCATTAGAATAGCCCCTTAGGCAGGGTGCTAACGTTGTGGTAGCTGCTCACAGCTGAGGGTGGGGGTCCTGCAGGTAGGGGGCACTGGGGCAGGGTCTGAGTGTGACTACATGTGTCCGTGGAAAGGGAAGATGCCAGGGCACCTTTTCTCCTTTCTCTGAGGAGCAGGAACTTGCCCACGGGCAGATGATCTTTAAGAGCCAAGCTTCCCACTCCCTCAGGTATAACCTGGGAAGTCCTGGGTGGGCTGCATGGGCAGGCCCTGGGCCTCATTGGCTCTCCTTTGGAGAGGACCACATCTCCTCCAGAACCAGGAGAGAGAAATGTACATTAAACGTAAGTAGTACATTTACAGTCGTCATGCATTTGACACGTGTGTGCACACACATAGAGCATGAGAGGCTCCCTTTGTGGATCTGGTTTCTGGTGGCACTCTGTGCAGCACTAGCTCACACACCTCACTTCTGCCCCTGGGAGCACCTGCAGTATTCCTCTTGTGAACAGCGGTGTGATCTGAGCTGACCCCTGAGGTTCCAGAGACCTGGCAGGATTCCAGTTTTGACAACTGTTGTATCTCTTGTTTTGGTCCTAATGCCTCTGTTTAGATCTTTCCAGAGTGCACTTTTTCAGTCTTTTCTAAAATGTAAATGTGTCGGTTAAGGGGTAAGGAGAGGGAGGTGGCCTAACCAAGTAGCAATCATTCATTAGAATTTTTAAAAAACCCTGACACTCTTCTTTTCATCTTTGATCATTAAATGAGTTCACATTCACTTGTGAAAAGTACAATAGGCCCTTCTGTATTTTTGAGGCATTTTATAAAAAGCTTGCATAATTGGAGGCATTTTCCAACTGTTCCATGGAGATGAAGTTAGAAAACTATTAAGGTCTTTGAAATTTTGTGCCGTGCTTGAGTTGGTGTAGAAAACCGTTTTGATGACAAGGAAATAAAGTGTCAAGATGGCATCAGCAACACCATGGAGACTGTTTTTTAACAAAAAATAATGTCAGAGAGAACATTTTATGCCACTCAAATGATTCCTTTCATATCAAATGTTAAATGATGCAAATGCCATCCACGTGGTTGCTCTTTGTTCTCTGCTGTTGTCAACCACAGTCTTGAGTGGCATGTGCTTTGGGGTTTCCCATCGTAGGATGGAGCACATGCGGCCACTAGCACCCCAGATAGTAAGACCTGTGGATTTTATAGAGAGAGCCCACTGCTCTAACAGGGCATCCTCGGGGGAGCCTGCTGCCCACCTCCCGTCAGGCCTGCAGCCCTGCTCGCCAGGGAGGATTCGTTGGCACACCAGGGCTGGCCTGTCGTGGGGACAGACTCCACTTGCCCCTGCTCCCAGAAGCTAACATCTCCCACCGAATGCTCCCAGAAGCTAACATCTCCCACCGAATGCCAATGAAATGATTCGTGTAAGACTGAAGCCCTCCCCTCAGCCCTAGCAGCAGGTTGCTTGCTAAGCAGGGGACAGGGCAGGGTGCGGGTTTCTTACTCCACTCAGTGCATCTGGCTCCAGAACCTGACGGACTGTGCCTAGCAGGGCCTCCTTGCCCAGGGAGACTGATATGTCATGTGCCTTTTGTTCTGCTTCCTGATATCAACATCCTGTCCACCCTTCTAGGCCACCATGTCTCTCATCCGGGTCATGGCAACAGCTCTGACCTGGTACCCGGGCCCATTCTTCCCCATTGCAGTCCATCTCTGCCTAGTGCCAGAGGCCTCCTCTTCATCTCTGCCTCTTCCACTTCACCTGGCCAACACCTGCTTTACTCTGACACCTTCAGGATGAGGTTCCCCCAGCCCCCCTTTCTCAGCTTTCCTGAATCCCCCACTGGACTCTCATCTCTCGAACAGAGACACTGTAGTCACCTGCATGCAGGAGGCCTGGCTCAGGGCTCACATAATAAATTCCTCATCAGTATTTGTAGGACCAACGAAGGGCTGAAACTAGCACTCCTTCCCTCCCTGACCGACTGACCATAGCCCATGTCCTTGTTTGGCACCGCTGTAGGCCAGTGCAGAGCAGACCAAGTCCTGGTTTCTCAGAGCTCCAGGCCCAGCCTTCCCGGAGGGTGTTCGCCTGTTAGTGCCCATCACAGGGCCTCCAAGCCTTTGGTCTTGTGCATCCTTCCGCTCTGATCCACATGCTGGCTCTCCAGGCTCACAAGCAGTTCTTTCTCACTTCACAGCTGGCCTCCCAGTATTCCTGCTGATGGGGAAAATGAGACATTTGGGGGGGTTAGCAATCTGAATCTAGTCACTGCCCCTTTAATTATCTGGTCCTGCAAGACCTGTTTACCCAAAATACTACTCCCATTTTAGAGAGGCCATAAACCATCCCCAGATGGAGTTATCAGTGCTGGCGCCAGGCCAGGCCTTGAGATGTGGTCCCACTGCCCCCATCCCAGCACATGGGGCTTTTTGCAAAGCCTGTGAAAGGTCCGGAAGTATGGTCCATATTTGGGGGACAAAGAAACCAAAGGGGTATAAAGGGAAAGCTTCCTCCATATCGGGGGGCTCAGGATTTGGAGAGAAACAGACTCCCCTGAGTCACCGTACCGATACATGTGAAATGTCGGGAAATAAATGGGTTTTTCCTGCGCCTCCGGTACTCCTGCGTATTTTTTCGGTCGCCTGGTAAATTCTGTATCACTGCCAGGCACCACTTACACCTGTGAGAAGGCGTCCTCGTGGCTACTGCCCCAGGATCTCCCCTAGACCTGCTCATGGGGAAAACCAGAGAGATGGGTGCTCTACCTGCAGTCCCCGTCAGTTTTAGTGGCTTAACCAAGCCAGGCCCTTTGCTCAAGGGCCCTTCAAACACAGAACAAACCACAGGCAGCATGGAGAAGAGAGGGGGTCAGATGTGGACGCAGCTCTGGCAGGCCGAGTGACCTGCTTGGTGGGGGAGCTCAGGTAGGTGGGCTCTCCTGGGCATGTCTGCTCAGTGACTCAGTGATGCAGGGGATGGCTCGGTCGCAGCAATGACTTTTGAACTCGTTTTGGGAAGCCAGAAGTTCTAGTGACATTTTGTAAAATCAATTAACTTGAAGACCATGATGAAATTGGGGGTGGTGATGGTATTTAATACTGCCTCGGCTTTCCCCCACAGCAGTATTATTCCCTACTCCTGCTGCAGTCTCATTTATCTCCTGCGTTAAAATGCCACTACTTAAAAAATATGTCAAAAGCTCATCAGAATATCCAGGTTAGCTTTTAATTATGGTAATTGTGTTGTTATAAAATATCCTTTTAGAGAGCACATCCCTCCTCAAACCACTCTGGAGGTAAAACCCAGCTTCCTCCCGGCAAGCTTAATGAATAATTCTGAATCATTGTGTGGGATGAATAAATGATTTAATAACGAGCATCAACAATCATCTCACATTGTTGCGTTAATCTCTAAATGGATGAGGTAAATGAGGAGGAGGGGTGTTACTACACAACGGGCCACCTTGTGTGGAGGGATGCCGCCTCTGAATCCAAGCCTGCGGGCTTCCCGGCTCAGGTTTCCCTAGAAACCGATGCATTCTCTTTCTCTTTCTGAAGCTCAATAAAAACCTTCTTTGTCTGATAAAAAACGTTGTCAATAGCCAGTACAAATAAAGAGTTATCAGGGCGGGACAGATGCACAGCTGTGAAGCGGCTCCGCTATTTTCTGTCTTCTTTTTGCTCTGCCTGAGGATAATCAATTTCATCACATCCAGGGGATGTCGAAATTGGCTTTCCCCATAATTCACCTGATACCTAGTTGGAGTTGCAAAGATAGATAGTAGATAATGAAATCTTGGTTGAACCTGGCCACCGTCTCCATCCTTCGTGCCTTTTTTAGCAGAAGGTTAATGTGTGAACCAGCTAATACGGATTCCAATTTAAAAATTCAATCTTAAAAAATAAAAGTCTAACTCTTTAACTATTTGCTCAATGTCTTGATACCTTTGCTTTTTTCCACTTTCAGCAGAGAGATCAGAACTGTGTAGTAGAGAGCTGAGAGTGAATTTGACAATTATGAAAAAATCTCAATAAGTTGATCTTTCCTGCAAAATTTGATCAGTAATTTCACAAAATTATAGTTTCATCTCTAGTATTTATGTTTAAAACAAAAAAAAACCACAAGAGCTTTTAGCCCAATGTTATCGTATTAGAATTCACTTTATGGGAAAAATAAAACATCAAATTGTACTCTAACATCTTAACTACATTGTATTGAAATTATTTGACATCCTGGTTGTTGTTGTTTTCTAGGAAGTGGAATCCCAGCTTAACTTTGTTCACCTTTGTAAGCCCAGCCCCTAGCTAGCCAACACTGTCCCATAGTAGCCCCTCAATAAATAAATATTGGTTAATGGAATGGATTTAAACTTGATTCAAACCTATTTATTAGCAGAATCATAGGTAATGCTTATGTTACCTATGGATTGGTGTTTACCAGCTGACTTTTGGATGGGAAATGCATTACCTACAGCAGGGGTGGGCAAACTTTTTGACTCGAGGGCCACAATGGGTTCTTAAACTGGACCGGAGGGCCGGAACAAAAGCATGGATGGAGTGTTTGTGTGAACTAATATAAATTCAAAGTAAACATCATTACATAAAAGGGTACGGTCTTTTTTTTTTTTTTTTTAGTTTTATTCATTTCAAACAGGCCGGATCCGGCCCGCGGGCCGTAGTTTGCCCACGGCTGACCTAGAGCAAGGGTTGGTAAACTTTTTCTGCAAAGGGTCAGAAATGTTGGACTAGTCTCTGTAGCATCTACTTAGCTGTGCGTTCTAGCATGAAAGCAGTTACAGAGGACTCCTAAGCAAATGGGCGTGGCTTAGGATCCTTCAGTGCTGCTCCTCAGGCTGTGTTCCAGTAACACTTTATTAACCAACAGGTGTTGGGCCTAGAGGCCATGGTTTTGCCACCTTGGCTTAGAGAAATGTTCCCATTACAGTGCGTAGCTCTTGTTCTTCCCGGGCCTTGTCCTCACTGTGC